AATAAATAAATAAATAAATAACCAACCAGTAGATCGATGCAGGCTCCAAGGAGCAGCTTCCAGTTAACTGTCAAGGCATGAACTTGAATGGTCAATACTATCAGATTCATTGTTTAGGAAAGGATTAGTTTAAGGACTAACATATATAGAGCATAATACTTGCAGCACAATCATTCAAATCGAGTAATCTGCAGAGTATGGTGTTCAGGTCTATAGTTCAAGAATAACATCAATATAACAAAATCTTCCTTTACATGGGGTATTTCACTAAAGCATTTAAAACATGCAAGTTACACCACAACCACAGAATTTTTACGTGAACTTTTGGATTAAGTTTTCAGGTGCGTGAGGGTTAAAAGTGGCAGCCAATTGTTCAAATAAGAGGTCAACATTTAGAATTCATGTGCTAGAAAACTTCCGTATTTTCATTACCATTAGAGCGCCACTTGATTATTGTGAGCAAAAAAGTGTTCCATCCATTTATTTGAGATTACATTAACTCTACATATTTCCTAGAAATTCGTCCCCAACTTAAAAGAGAGATAGGTAGATGCTGAATAAACATACACTAGACAGATACCCTGAAACTAGATGAACAGCTTATCTTGGATTATGGGCACCATAAACAAAAAGCAACAATAAAAAAATTACTATATAAAATACACATATTGATCCAGTTAGATTACCAGGAAAGCTTTATTAAAATGAAGCTATGTTTGCTGTTAGTCTTTCCATTTATTCCACCACAAAAACAACAACAGACAACAAGGACGTAAAAATATAGCTTTGTTATACCTTTTCTGACAAAGAGTCTAATAGCATATCTGAAATATTCACTGTATTGTCTAATACTAAATTATTAAGCAAAAATGGGAACTCTCCCTTTTAGGTCAATCTAGAAAAAAATCATTTATTGCATAACAATTAAAAATGGTATTTGGTACATCTTAAAAAAAAAAATAAAATAAAATAAAAGTGTGTTAACTAACTAACCTGAGAAACAATCTTTGAAACCACAGGCCTCTAGAACAGAATTCTTATTCAAAATAAATACAAATCAAAATAGTGCATGCAGTATTTACAGCCATCTGCATGACACTTCCTGAAACCTGAAGGCTTTTCCCACCATCCTACCTAAGTAACTAACTTTGTCAGCTACATCATGCAGGATACTTTCAAAAGTGTATGTGTCTGAATTCAGAAGATATTTCCTCTGCAGTCTTTAAAAATCAAAAGCTGCGCAGAAGGTCTGATGATGTTAAAAGTAGTTTAAATTACTCATCTAAGAAAAAAGTTAATAAGCATCCAAGACTTGAAATATTTCAGCGAAAACCCACCTGTTCGATTCCTCTTATCCACATTTTCCTTCCCCCCCTCCCCGTCTGGGGCTCAAATCCTGGTCTTTGGGCAAAACATCAATACTACAACACAAAACAGCTAAAAAGGAACTTATGGGCCACATTCAGCTAGATTTATCATAAATTATCTTCACATAACAGCATAACAGAAGTCCTTTTAGAACAAGAACAATCACAGGATAATACTGTTTTAAGTTGTTATATCTTATTATATTTTGCTTCATCCCATCTAATATCTTACAGTCAACAGTCACAAAAAAGCCATTAGACAAAGACATGACCAAAAATATTAGACAAAGACATGACCAGCACTCAAAACATTAAGCCAGATTGCTATATTTGAATTTAAAACTCCTTTAGCAACACTTCTTGCTTTAAGCAATTAACATTTCAAATTGGATGAACAGATATCTTTACGTCTTCCACTTTTGACAAACTGCTGTACACAGACACATCAAAATATAGTTGTTCCTCACAAAACGGACACTTATCAAAACCTACTGGTAATTTTTAGCCAAAAAACCCTCTGTTATACTTTATCTTTTTTGGTCTAAAACAAGAAATCTTTCCACTGTATGTTTTGAATAGAAACGATATTTTATAAAACTACCTACATTTTGACTATATTCATGAGCCATTAAAGAGCCGCAAAATGCACCTAAAGCAGATAGGGCATATAGCCTTGTTGTGTGCTTTTCGCCCTTGCAATGGAAGTGCAGTCAAAGCAGCACTTTAAATTTCACTCTGAAAACAATAATATTTTTATCTGTATTAAAAGCAAGTTTTCCTCTGTTGTCACGCTAATAATAAAACATACCAGTAAGCTCCAGAAAGGCAGAAACTCAATAGCAGAAATAACCTCTATTAAAGCTTACTTTGTTTTATATAGTTCATAGCATGAAGATACCACCTTTACGGTACATTTGAGAAGCAGCAGACAGGATCAGCTTTAAATACTGGGACAGAGAATGCACTTGTAGCCAATGGGCTGCAGTCTCAAGTAATGCTTGAAGGTCTTCCCAAAACTGATGGTACATTTCTTGTTTTGAAGGGGAATTTTCCTTTTAAGGAAAGGGATGTTCTTGTTGATTAGTGGAAAGAAACTGGACTAAACTTGCGTACTTTATGGATTGCTTTTGTCAATCTACAAGCAAAACAGCAGACAATTTCTTAAGGCATGCTCTACAGAGTTTGTTCTACTCCACAATGGTTTATAGTTATGCCGTGATATGCAATTCAACTAAATTTAAGTAAGAAATAACTTGAGAAAAGAAAATGTAAGAAAGCCTTCTTCTCATTATAAGGTTGCTGAAACTTTCAATTTTCATGGTAAGCAAATTGAAAATTAGAAGTAAATTTCCTTCACATGTCATCTCCGACTTCTAGTCTAACGACGCAGCTGAACTTACGGAAGTACCACTTCTGAATTATAATATCCTATTATTGATCATGAAATTGCATACACAAAAATAAACGAGGCAATACTTCATAAAATACTGAACTAAGTTAGTGATAATTACACTTTACAGATGTTCTTAAAAGTGCAAGATGAAGGCTCCCAAATTCCTCTAGAAAAGCTTAAATACTAAAATACATTCTGAGAGAATAAAGAGACTTGAGAGGATTCAAAAAAGGACTCTCATACGCCAGTAGCGCCTTATTAAATTGCCACTACAAAAACACTTTCCATGCTCATACAAGTTAGCACCATCCAAATATACCACACACAGACCACATGACACTGGCAGACAGACTGCTCTAGTATTGCTGATAGACATCACTGTGATTTCTCTAATTGCCTCCTTCAGCTTAGAAAAAGAAATTATATGTTTTAAATCACAATGAAAGTAAAGATAAGGCAATTCCTTTGCAAAACATTCATCTCATAAGACAGCAAACAGCAAGATTCCAGCAAGACAATAAACTTACCCTACCACACTTACACATGCAGAAGATTTCATTTTCATCATGAAGGTCAATTATTCTCTGAGAATCTTAAAATCCACAACTGAATAATGTAAAGCCGATAACTGACTTTAGACAGATGCCAAATTTTGTACTTATAAAAATATCACCACCTGGCATAGTTTAATATTTTATATTATTCATAACAGTTAACAGAAAGGTCTGTGAGACTATAATTCTAGTTAGTAAAGCAAAGCCAATAAGCCATCTTACTCCCCCTCCTTTTTTTTTTAAAATGCAGGGTGCATTAGTTTGAAAGCTCTGAAGCAAAGGAACCAAATGCAAACATCAACTGAAAATAATGAACGTATAAAAAGTAATTACCCATATATTTTTTAATTTTGAAGACTACTGAAATATCCGTTGTGAATACTTGGTATGTAAACACGTAAACACTATAAAATTCAACTCTGTAAGGACATATCAATGATGTAGAAGGTTACTTCTCTAAGCATAATCCTACACTGTAAGTATGGGTATAAAACTATTTCTGAAAAAAGTAAATATAATAATATACTTTAAGAAGTTATCTAATTCAAATTAGAATGGCTACTATATGCAGCAGTGAAAAATAAGGCTTTAAACTGAAGCAGAAAATAACCTTTACCTTGAGCATAAATAAGCAACAAATGTAATAAATAGCAGATAACCATGCCACTCTGTCATGAGAAACTTCACTGCATTTTCACTAACTTAAGAAACTTGTTCTGATTTTGGAAGTTAGAAGTGATAATTCACAATTAAAAAAAATATGTGGCATAATTAAAATGTAGATCTATTCATAACATATTTTCATGTGTTCTATATCTTGATGAAATCATCTTTTTCACTCCAACAATCATCGTTGTCCTTGAGGTCATTTTATTTTTAGATGTCACCTTATAACAAAGCATATCGAATACTTAAATGCAGTAGCACAGTAAACACTTCTTTACAGAGAATGTTGAACTATTTTCTCTATATGTAGCAGAGAAGAGAAGAAAACAACAATAAACCAAAAAACACATACAAGAACAAAAAACACTTCCAAAAGAAACATCAAGCTTAAAACTAAAAAAAATTAACATAGATTTTGCTTCTGAGGACAGGTCTGAATTAAATAATCAGAAATGAGTTTCTCAGTTATTTTAAATGGAATTTAGCTGTAAGCACAGATAGCTACACTTCAATTGGTTACTCAGTTCAGTAGAGAACAGTTTGCAGAATTAGTCAATCTACATTTACTGTGACAACATCTACTGCTGGATTAGCGTTGACAGCACTTTATAATAATCTATCATCTGCGGTACAAGAATACCGTCCCGAATCTAGGCTATGCTAGAATACCATTCATGCACAGTCATCATTCCCTTCCCTGAACTCACAGCTATTTTTCTGCTTAAAATATTAATTTCCCTTTAGTATCAAAAAATATTGAAAAGTAAAAGCAGCAATGGTTTTAAAAACTTTCAGCTTGGGCTCTCTTTAAAGTTAACTACTCAAAAATAAACACACTTCCCAGGTGATGGCTTTTATTCTCTCTGAAGATGGTGACATCTTTGTAGTGCATCCCTTGCTAAAAAGAGTTGTAGTCAGTAAGTCCCACTGATGGAAGGTTTTTCCCTACTTAGGGTAGTTTGTCATGCGTTGCAAGTTTCATGAACCTACAATTACAAAACTTGCATAGCTTCATCTTACCTTGCAAAGAAAACTGATGTTAAAACCAAGAGATTGTGCATTTCTGGAGCCAGAGTTCATGTAGTTCCCAACCAACAGCACTAACTCTAAAAGCCTACTAAAACTTTCACTCTTCTTCAGCTCTTCACAAGCTAGTGTAACTGCCATGATGTCAGGTTTGATATTGTTTACATGCTCTTCAAACATGAGCCTGAAAAGAATCCCATTGAGACGTGATCGCAACATTTTCACTGAACTCATCTGCAAAATAAGAAATAAGAAATCAGAACATACAAAATAACAAAAGTTTATTTATGCAAAATAGCTGATACCAAAAAAACATTGTGTAGTCACATCAGAAAGCAAGAAAGTACACTTCCCACACATTTTTGACTGCATTGCATTTCCAAGAATCTGTACCTGCACAGAGATTTTCCCCCCCGACCCAAGCCATATTACTTAACTTGAACCAATTCATTGAAACAACATACTAAAAATAAAAAGAACACTTTTTTGTTATCAAATAACTTAATTTCAAATTCACTGACAATAAATGCAGCACACTGCCAAAACACTTCTTCACAGCAAAGGAAATGTAAGCCAGTTCCACCAATTAACAAGAACTGAAGATTAACTTTCACATATACGCTATCACAGCTCAAAAAAATTTACCCTTGGTCTCTGATATTTACTGACTTCCTAAATCTAAGCTTCTCAGTTTTTCTTCCTACAAAAATAGGGCAGGACTCTCTTAAGTGCGTGTGCCGATACCAGCACAAATGTAAACATTTATGTTTCAGTTTGATTAAGCTAAAGAATTACACTTTTCCTTTTCAAACCCTCTCTTACTGAGTTGATACACAGTTCCCAACTCGCCCTTTATCATCAGCGGAGCCACAGGGGAGAAAGTCGAGGAAGGATGAATTCTTAGGGGTCTTTGGGGAAAGCCATGGGAAAACTTCAGTGAGTTTGAGACACAGGAGGTCAAGCTTCATTAGCCAGATGTTTGTGTGAAGCCAGGTTACATCAATAGCATTAATCATGAAGTATTTTTCCGCCACTACACTGATGTGAGTTACTGTCATAAATACTGATATTAGTGGTATTTCTAAGTTGTTTATTTTTGAAGTTTTAATTAAACTGAAAAACCTTTTTTTGACTCACTTGTTAGCTATATTAGCTATACCCATAGCATCCCGAGTCACACAAAAATAATAATACAAATTCCACCAGCATTTTGGAACGATAGTTACTGAAAAGCTAAAATGTGCTTTAGAAGACACAGTACAATATTCATTTGACCCCAAGATCTTTCAAGTTCACCTTAAAAAAAAGCCCCAGGCTGCATATCTCAACAACCGATCAGATTCAAGAGGCGAATAAAGGGGTTTTGGCACAAATTCACAACAACCAATGTTACGTATACAAGGAAACATGCCCCAAGATACTAAAGCAACGATATACTTCAGGTTTACTCCTTCAGCTCTGATCACAAGCCATAACGTTGTGCAGGCAGTATGCTGCCTGCTTTTCAACCTGTTGTCTTTGCCCTTTAAACAAACTTCGTAAGCTACTTCCCAAGATGCTACTGCCTTTACGTTTCAGACACTCTGCTAAAGGCAGCACGTGACTTTCTGACCTGATAAACACACGGGAGGTTTAAATCACACCTTTGTAAAATGGGAAGCAATGTAGATATCGAAGAGTTGATGTTACTGATTCATCAGCTTAAAGGCCCCAAGAATGATTGCTAGACTGTCTGCCAAAACATGTCCTTATAGTTATTGTATGACTGTAATTTCTCCAGAAGATATTTAAAAGCCTTAGAATATGAAAACAGAACTGCAATGAGGCAGGTGTTTCACTGCACAGAACACTGACTGAAATATTTGTGAAGAATAACCCTTTACAACACGTTAGCTGATTTGTACTTTTCTCTTCTTCTAAACGCTGTGAAGTGGCGCAGAACATTGGTCACCATGCTATAATACGCAGCGGATTTATTTGCATTGCAAGGTCTATTGTTGTCTGTAACAACAGCGCTAAGTTTTAATTTCATTTCCTGATCTGCATAGTATTAAAAAAAAAAAACCTTGACAATTCAGTGAGCGCTGCTTCAAGTGGGTTGTTTCCTATAGAATTAAAAATACTTATGTACATTACGTTCTTTATGCATCAGTGGATAAAGACCAGGAGCTGCATTTCCCACCCTGCAAGTTTCTCTTTTTTCTTATGTATGCATGTATATACACATATTCAAGGGCTGATGAAAAGACTGAACTTAGAGGAATCTTAAGAAAATAGGTAAGGTGCAATACTTATATTAATTAAGATTCATTAGGGAAAAAAAAAGCAAGTTCTTTATAGCTCTGCAGAATTGGTGTCAAAGGTATATAAGATATCACACATTCAAAAGGATTTAAGTAACAGCAAGTATTATCCAGCACAGTAGGTTTAAAATAAATAAATGGACTTTTTAAAAATCCTGTTGTGGGCACTGGAGCTAATGAGATTGTTTCCTATGCATCCACACGTCATAATTTCCCTACCTGAGCTTTCATAAAGGCTCCTGTCTGAATTGTCTACTTAGTCAAGTTCTTGATTTACTTCTTACTTAAAGAAATATAATTAACTTTCAACTCTCTAGCCCTCCATCAAAACTTAGTTCAAAGGTTAATGGAGAACAAGGCAAAAAGCACAACTAAATTAGCCTCGTTTCCTAAGGGAAAAAGTTGTAATACCTGTAATACAAATTTGTGAACTTACTCTGACAACTTAGCCTCTTCAATATAATATATTCATCAGCTGCTATTCTTTTTTTCAGCGGTGTTCTACAAAGATTAATTCTGCAGTCGCACTAGAAATTACAGTAGCGAAAAACAAATGGCCACATATAATTAATAAGACTGAATGACTCAAACAGGTTCAGCTTGTACAATTCCTCTTGACTGGTGTACCTGCCAGCAAGGACTCTTTTGGACAGCCAGTGCTGGTTATCCTCCAGACAGGATCACAGAATCTCCTAAAGAATTCTCACTTTTCCAAAATACACAAGAGACAAGGTATCTTTTGGTCAGTTTCAGTCACTTTGGGTTTGTTTGTTTTGTTTTTGTATAGGAAACAGTTATTAACTAAAACTTGCATCACAACTGTGGGATAATCTTTTAGAAGCAATAACAATATTCTTAATTCCACTTGATGGATCACATAGGAAACACAAATGTCATGATCGGCAGTCAGGAAATACAGGTAAAGCTTTGAGAGTTTAAATACCATGAACTCTGCATAAGACTATATTTTTTAGACCTTCATTGAGAAGAAATGGTTAATACTTGCATAACACAGATATGGCAGTTATACTTTTATAATACTTAAAGTGTTCAACCAGCAACCAAGTGTCATTATTTAAGATGCAGCTGCTCCTGTGTCATAAAAAGTTAACCTTTCCACATACATATTTTATATTTAAATATCAGAAAATTCTGCACAGCTTATTTAACATTACAGAACTAAAGCAGTTAATCTGTTTTCCTCACTCCACTTCAGCATCAGTAACCATCATTTTCATATGAGATTCCGAACTGCCTTTTTTATCCCAGGACATAACTTCAAAAACTGCTCCAATAATTAATTTGAGTATATAATTGATCTTAATATTTCATCTAAATTAAAATGCGATGCTCTAATTTTCATTCACATATCAGATGAATATTAAGCTAATTGGTCTCGTACAGTAAGCAATCCATTTAAGTAGGGCTTTTGTACACATATTTTAAACAGCTTATTCTGACCTTTATTAAATTTGATAGGCATACTGATTATCCAATTAAAATCTCTGTTAATTAACATACCTAAATTTATATACAAATAAGTGCACACCTTTTACACGTTCCTTTATATAGCCTATCAGTCAGCCTTTATTTCTAACCATATTCTTCTTAACATCAAGGTTAAGATTATTATTAAGCAAGACTTGAAAATTAATTCAATACACAATGAAAAAGAACCTCCTTACTTGACTGCAGTCAAGTTCAGCTGCTTTTCTTCTACTTTAACGGAAAAATGGATGGTTGCATTAAGTTAAACCATAAAATAAAATGAGCCTTTTATTATTGTAGCCGTAAGAGACTAAAAATAAAACAGAAGCAGTGCCCATAAGTAATATTTTTTTTTAATTGAATCAGATGATAAAGTTGAATAAACAAATAAGCTTCAGGACACTTAATCTCTTCATCAGGCAAACACCACAGCTTGGACATGTTGGATGAAGCATGCTTTTCTAGTTAATGTTGCATTAACTACTTCTGAATGCTTTCTCAACTTTTCTGCTCAATCACTCCCTAAAATAATGAAGCAGCAAAAAAAGTGATCATGAGTGTATTATGTGATACCTGCTATCTAAAAATAAGGTTGTATTTATAAAAATTATGACTTTTTCAAAACATTTGAGTGAAAAACAAGGACCACGTAGATTCAATTCAGTAGTAATTAAAAGTCAAAAACAGAAGATCCTAGGTGCATAAAAGAACCAAAGATGTGAGACAGTCTCCCCAGTGACCCTCATTTATCATTCTGAATTTTTCTTTTTCCTTTGAATTTTCTGTTTTTTTGATGTAGAATCCCTAGAACATGGCTCAGAGCAATGGACTGACATCTGCAGCTTGCTCCTAACTCATGGTGCAGCCTTGTTATCACAGCTTTCCTCAGCAGAAGGGTAATTCACTGTTATCCAACAGAGAACAGTGAGGATGCACATAAACAGCACACTGGTAAAGAAATCTCTTTATATACAACCCATAGAAAAATATAACAAAACTGAACAGGTGAAAAAGGACAACTTAGAAGAGACAGGGTAGGTATAATGTTTCTAATGGAAAGCGTGTGGCAAGAGAAAGGGGTCTAGTTAGAAGACACAAGTTACAGATCAGGATGGAGTGGGTAGGAACCTACAGTAAAAAAGAGGAACGTCTATAGAATGCCTTAAATCAAGATCATTAGGCATAATTTTCTCAATTGCTTTGCTAACATTTTAAATAGCTAAGTGAATGGACTTTTATGGACATCCTAGTCATCTTTACTTGTCTTTATTGCCTCTATCTTGCTTGCTTTCATCCTGCGCTTTCCTTGGACAAGTTTCAAATAATCTCCTTGCACAAAATTTAACTGCTTTCACACTTGAATTGGCATTATTTGTGTGAGAGAAGAAAAATGAAACATTTATTTGGTATATCAGTCGCTCCCTGCTATCCTTTTGCTCACTGCCTTTTCAAAAGTAGAGAAAAAGCAGACAGATAACTCAATTGTTCTAGCATTCCTTCCTTCTGAGAGAGCAGAAGACCTTTGCGTTTTTGGGCTGGGAAGTATCACTGTCATTTCATCATATTGTTTCAGTCACTTTCTGCCCTGTGACAAAGAAGGCATAAAGTATTCCTCCAGTGCTTTTAGAGTTATATATTACACCTCAATCAAGCCTCCTCCTCATTGTTCTAAAACGATGTATTTTGGGAACTTTATGCCATTTATTAAAAAATAAAAAGCCTAAAGGTTTTCCAAAAAAGTGACTGTCCTTTTACTTCCCTAACTCCTCTACAAAAATCTCATTAGGTCCAATTATGTTCCCTGAATCCAGACAAATCAAAAGGCACTTTTGAAGACAAATTATGCTCAGAACAGAGCTTTTTAACAGAAAGCTAGTTTTACTCTTTCAAGTGACCACTATTTCTGTCTATAACACATTTGACAGTGCATAACACCATAAGAATCTAACAAGGGCAAACCTAGCTCCTGTGAAGTTACAGATATATTCTAACCACACTACAGAGGTGATCATCAGCACCATAATCTTACGGACTGACAAATCGAAGAGAAAATTGGAATTAATTTGCCTACAGACTAATCAGGTCTTTGAGAGACAAGAAGAGGAAAAAGAAGAAAAGTCTTCCAAGTCCTACTCTAGTATTCTGTATCATACAGGCAACTACTAGCTTGTGTTAGGGCAATTCATGTAAAATTGATACTTTCATTCAGAAACTGGATCTAGTCATTGTAATATCTGTTATCCCTACTTTGGGGATAAATCTATGTATTGAACACAAGTAAAAGTAACAGAGTACAATCTTAAATCTAAATTCTGACATGAATGCGTGCATATTCCACAGCAGTTTCATAAATTTGTATGTGTAGGTATATATGTGTATAAAAAAAAATTAACTCTTTCAGTCAGCTACAGTTTTCCATACAGTAGTATAAGTTAATCGAAAATGTCAGTGCCACTGAGTTAATGAATAGTTTATGAACTCTTAGAAATACACCTTCTTTGTTAGTGATGAAGAACACTGTAGGTTCAATCAACATACAAGATTTGCATACAAGACACACAAGGCAGTCAGATAAAATACTTGGTTTGGCACAGAAATGCTTTTTGGTCTTAGCTGCATGCCATTATTCCTTCTAGAAAAAACAAAAGTATATGTACTTACAGAGATTTTTGGATTGTTAATGATCAACAAATAAATGGTAACATTCTGCAGAACCTGCAATAACTCTAACCAAAATAATTTAAACCTATAATTTTTCTTTCCAATCTATTTGATAAAAATATAACTTTCCTGTTAATTACTGCACTAATACTTACGACAATTCCAAATTGTTCTGGCTCGCAAAGATCACTATATTCATCCTTGAATTGGGCTAAAGCATTGAGCTCTTTCTGTTCAGGAAGATTCTTTACGAGGCTCTAATAAAAACAAACAAAAAAAAATTAGAAGCTTAATTCATGTAGGTACCTTCAACAATAAACAAACATCAAATCACCAATCATTTAATACAGACATCAGCACCTCTGTTACAGTCTCTAATTTGAGGAATGACCGCAAGTTTTATACAACAGCTCTTAGACACTGTCAAACACAGCGTCTACAATCTTTTCTTTTGTCCTCATGATTGTATTTTGCTCATTATGTATTAACCAAGGAACAACTGGTCTGTACAAAGCAGGACATGACTGCCTGAAGAGAGAAAAACAAATCAACAAACAAACAAAACAAACAGCATAAGACGTTATTCGCAACAGCAGTGCAAAAGTTTCACTTGAAATCACCTTACACAAAAAATGAATGCCATCTCAAAATTATACAGAATCTCTGGATTGTAAATGTAACACTCACCTCTTTTGATAACATAATTCAGCAAGAAGTAAAACTTGCTCCAAATCTCATCTATGACCCCTAAAAACTTTTGCAACATATGATTTAACTTTCAAAAACAATTATGCCTCAGGTATAGAACTATTTTTATTAAAACAGAGTATTCTTTGGCTTTAAAGGCTATTCAGTAGACGTGTAGCTTGTGTGTACTTAAATTTCAAAATATTTAAGTTTGTTAGTTTCAAAAAAAAAAAAAGATACTTCAGGGAAAAAAATAAACCTATGTATCTACATTCAAGCAAGCAAATGAAAGCAAATAGTCCTTTCTCGTTCAAAAAAAGTTCATGAATCTTAGGAACAAAGAAAGAGACTGAAGGGAATTAAAGAAGTGTTAGGCTGATAAGAGTATACTACAGCTGATATTAAGGTCTGTGGTAGCACAAGGACTTCAAATGATGTCACAGCATCAAAGGAAGCTTAAGACATCTTCTGCACCTCTGTATCGTCCCCACAGATCAGAATGAATTCTCAGCATGCAGACAGGTATCTACTCCAGATATCATAATCTTGATGCAACTTGGGACATAATCTTTATGTAACTAGTGAGTTCCAAAATCACAATCTAGATGATTAAATAAAGTAAAAACAAAAGGAGATCTACCCCAAGTAAATGCTGACTATGCTTAAAGCAAACATTCTACAATTTTATGTATATATATAAAATCATAAATTTATTGGATAACTATTGGGTTTTTTTAATGTCTGAGGCCCCTGCCAGCTCCTCCTTAAAGAAGTCAAGCCATCAGCAACGTAACTAAAGAAAACTCTAATTAACTGCTGTCCACAATCAATACCTCCTCCTTACAGGTTGTTACTGGTTGATCATTTGAAAAAAAATTCACTCCACTAACATTCTCCACCATGCCAATATTTAAGTCTTTTGCAGTTTGGTTTAGACTTGTAAAATATCAGTTTCTAATACTGGTAAATGATTTTAACATGAAGCTCTGTTCACCTCACCTAATTTCATATAATGTATGAAAAATAACCATATTCGTAAGTTAACATATGCTGGAATTCCAAAAAAAAAAAAACTCTGCTGTGTCAGTTCACCATTTCAGCTAGAAGAATACCATTTAGCATGATCATAATACAAAATAAAACCAAGTAGTACTTGATATCACATTGCATTGTTACAACAATTGTTTTCCACATCATTACATTTATTCTGCAAAATACAAAGTTCAATTTTTCCTTCTAATTGCATACCCAAAGGTTAGTTAAGTGAAAATATGAAGAAAAGTCTTTCATTCTTGCCAAAAATAATTTTTTGTTTCTGTCTTCTGCCCTTAGCAAATCCATGCTGACTCCTCCTCAATGTCTCTTCTCCATCACAAATTTGAAAATTCCTAAAGGATGTGTATCCAAGGTATTGAACTCAGGCTGATTGGCCTATAACTCTCAGGGCCTAAATGAAGATTTTAACTATAGATAAATGATCAGTGCAGTGATTAAAAATATATATGTGTGTGTATATTTGTGCGTGTGTGCATATATATGCATACATATACGCACATTGTTAACCACGTAACAGGAAAAAGCACTGCACTATCACTTAAAAAAAAGAGAGTTATGGTCCAGCTTTGTCTTACTTCTAGAGCAGTCTGATCTCATTATATTCTGCTTCTGGACCATCCTTGTAGAGCACCTTTCCAGGCTGTTTTCATGCCAGTTACAATCCTCCGCACTAAACACTGGCAGATGTCAGAAATATCTATACCTATACCTATATCCAAACGTTTATTTTGATTAATTCTACTGAATAATTAAAAATGAAGCTAGAGTATTCAGTGATCAAATATTCCACTCCTTGCCAGTTCTTTAAGAAACACATTTTGGAGAGTGATATTTTAGAATAACGTATTTATGATAATGATGCAGGTCTAAATAAAAATAGGGTAAATAAAAAAGGTTTATATGAAAATAAAAAGTAGTAGAAAACTAAGGCTGACAATAAGAGGCTGATAGAAAGGTAGGTTTATGCTTCTTGGAAGAAATATATACTCAGAGAACATTAAAGTACATTGCAGAAACTCAGATGACAACTTTTCAGGTCCTCAAACTTGTATATGAAAAAAGCTATTGAAGGAGATACAAGAATCTCTGCATTCACTAACAAAGATTAAAAAATATGATGGAGTACTAGACAGTTAACAGTAAAGAATATATGTTAAATATGATGGATCGTATGGATAAATCCTATCCATAATGTCGTCAGCACTAAAACTGGTTAAAAATTGATGTTGTAAAAATCCTTGCACTGCAATTTTTAAGGGCACTTTTAAAAAAAATTTCAACGACTCTTAAGAGTAACCAGAAAATCCAGAGTCATAATTTGAACAAAAATAAGTACGTACATGAATTCAAACCTGAACGTTCACTAAAATGACTAGCAGACTACCTTCGCTATTATACTTTGAAATACCAGGATAATGACACCATTAAAGTTTGAAGATGTGCAAAATGCATGTTCACAACTGGTTGACTCAGTCCCAATTTCTCCACACCCCAATTAACAGCTTAGAACTAAGGTTCTTGGAGAAGATGACTATAAGAAAAACATATTACTAAATTCAAATGATAATACAGCATGCTTATTTGTGTATTGTTTCCCTACTGCTGTCAAGTGAGCCGCTCCATCTAGCGTCTGGGACATGACGATCAGCTGAAAGCCCACTGTCACAACGCTCTGAATTCTGCCAAACGTGATGTTTGGCAAGTAGCTGTTTATAAGAACTTATTCTCTCAGAGAGAATTGACAATATGTTTTCCTAGAATATATTTCTCGAGGAGAAAAAATAGTGGCCTACAGCCTACCATGTATTCAACCTGATTAAAATTCCAATTAATTTTAGTAAGCATTACAAGACAAATTTGAAAAGCAGCAAGAAACAAGGCCTTCAGAAGCCTACCTGAAAGAAACAGCACTTCTCAATATGCTCAGTCGTGCTATACACATTTAGCCTTCACCACCAGATACTTAGAGAGACTTACAGACATACTTAGAGACCTACTGATACTTAGAGAGAACAAAGCAGTTTTTGCACATGCATTTCTATAAAGTTCAAGTTTTACTAAGTATGAAAGCAAGTAAGGTTTGCTTTGTAAAAGTTCTCCAATTAGTCTGAAAAATGTTTAACTGGTAAATGAGGTAGTACCTCACACATAGTTGGAAGACTAGAATAAAATACATTAGAAGAGATTGAACATCAAACAGAGGATACAGCCCATTTCTGTCAATATGTCCCTACAAGTATTTTTAGAAACATGGAAGGAAATTCTTCCAGTATATCAGCTAAATCTACCTGCTATTAGAGGCCTTTCAGAAATGGATCAACCTCCAAAGAAAACTTATTATTTCCAGCTCCAATTCCCTCCACTGGAATACCAAGCCAAAGCCTTGCTCTATCAAGGGTTATGAACAGCTCAGTTTCTAAAATGATCATGAATTTATCATGAGGCCGTCCATGCGTTCTGTTGTTAACATTGCCTTTTACTTAAGTGATTTCATTTTCCTCCTTGATGCTTATCTACCTCTCTCTTCTCCTGGTAGTTATAATGAAGTTATATCCCCTCTTAGCTATTTATACTGCTAACCTAATCAAGCCAATCTTTTCTAGCTTCCTTTTTAAACTGTGTTTCTCCATCCCCCAATCAGCTTAAGTAGTTTTTAAGTTCAGCTTCTACATTTCAAACTCACTTTTGAGAAATGTAAGACATTATCTAAAATACTCTGCACAAGTGCGTTACTCAAAAACATAATAATTATCCTCTCTCCTGGAAATACTTCACCTGACACACCTTACAATCACATTTGCTTTTTTTATGGCTGCATCACAGTGGTAGTTATACTCATCCTGTTGGAGACAGACTCACTGTTACTCCTCCTCAATCATTTCTGATTCATAAGCAACCATTACAAATTAGCTTCCAGTATTTTACAATTACATTTTAAGATCACGACTTTACATTTTGACCTAATATATTACACACTATTTCTATTAATCCAGACCTCAAGATAACTCTGCATTTACTGTAAGTAAAGTAATTACACTAATGTTAAGCTATTCTGCATTTTTGAGGTATCTGAGGGTTTTTTTCCTGTTGACATTTGATTTTATTAATCTTGTAGACTTATCCAATATCCTTGACCATAACTGTAAACTCAGACTTCCTACTTCTTTCTAGGTATTTCCTATCCTGTGCAGAAGGCTTTTGTAAGAAAAATAGATTCTCTGCAGTTACAGGTAATATTTTTATCATGTAAATGCATATTAGAAGTACTTGGTATGTAACTTTAGAGCCCATATTCAAAACTAAGGCATTTCGTGCTGACATGGCCTGAAGCAGGACACCATACTGAAATACATCAAATAAGGACAGACAGGAAATAAATTATGATAAATAAAGAACTTTCAAAAATATTAGCAGAAAGTACGCAAAAAATAACAACAACAACATCAAGTATGGCCCAAAATTAAATAGAGGTGAGAATTTTCGATGCCCCATGTATGTTTTCAAGCATGTTGCATTAGGTGGTAGAAGTTTCAGAATATGTAACCATGAAAAAGGATCCTGTAGGTACTGCTGTGACCCTACTGGGCTCGCTACTGAGGTCTACGAGAAAATGACAGCCCTTCCTTAAACATGTCAACAAAACAAAGCTCCAGAGATGTAGGAGGGCTCTTCTGACACAGAAAAATTGCAGAGGAAGGATAAGTGAATTTAATTTGATAAAATTATTTTACACCGTATATTGTGTAACATAGTGGAGCCAATTTTGTTAAAACACACCCATGTTTGAAAAAGTTATGAACTGCATAGCCTAACTGTGAAAAGATCAGGCAACTGAATCTTATCTAGTTTTCCTGGAATGAAAAAAAAAAAAAAAAAAAAAGCCTGGATCAAGACAAGAGGAAGGAATTCATAAAGAAAACTGGGGGAGCAGGGGAGAGCAGGAAAAACATTATTGGGGGACACAGCACACATGCAGGGGACAGGGAAGGAGGAAAGGGCAAATAGGGGCCTGGTATCTTAGCTAAAAAAGCATCCGTTAGTGGAGTCGGGATGAGTCGATAGTCATGACACCATGAATCTGCATATATTAAAATAAACCAATTCAACACCAATATCATAGCTATACTGCTGTGCTATTCCTGCATACGCTTTTTGTCTTGAGTGCTTACGAGCTGCTCTCTATCACTTCCTAGAGATCATTAGGTGGTTTGTATTTTCCTCTCTTTGGCTAAGAGATTTTGGCCTCAAAACATGACAAAGCCAGCCTGAAAGCAGACTTGATTCACTGATATTTTTGTTTGGGTTGAAGAAGTATCCCTAAAGATAGTAGTTTCATCTTCAAGTAGTTTCATCTATCACTAGTAAAGAGCTGAGATTTTTCAGTGAAAAGTCTGGTGAAACTTCACTATGCACCAGCCTCAACTGGGATGAATGTTTGGTTGACTTAGAAGCTCAAAAAACTAGAATTATGATCATGAGTTTCCTTTTGAAAAGGAAACTTCATGAAGTGACAAACTCTGCAATGAATCGGCTTCTGTTAACAGCCTCTTTTAAAGACGCAGTTTTACTGCTATATCTCATCATATGCAAAAGTAGAAGGGAAATAAACAAAACAGTAAACACACTACGCTATTTTACTCTTGAATTCTCATTCTTTCACAGCATTTTCATGTGGCAAACAAACTATCAGCAAAACCAGTGACATTTTCACATACCTGAATTAAGGACTCACTCAGCTTCTCTTCATCAATCTCTAAAATTATACTTTTTATTTCTTCGTAAGGCATACGAAAAGATCCCAAAAATATTGCTAAAATTCAATAACACATAATAAGAATTAAAAATATCAAAAAGATTCATATAAGAACACAAACGTAATTTCTACCAGCCCATTCTTCATTCAAATTAAGATGATAAACAATGAAAAATTTTCCTATATAAAATAATCTGTAGATGAAGTGCACTATTTCAGTCCAAATTGTAATGAAAACATGTAAGGAGTAAAACCACAACAGCAGTAGTAACCGTTCAAAGAGCCTCAGTTGCTCCCTAGCAGTATTTCTTAACTGTATGAATAAAGTCCTATTTTTACAAACGGAAAAAATATCTACATTATTACTTAAAGCTATATTTATGCAGTCATTAGAAGACTTTAGCTATTATCTTTGCTTTCATAACCACATGTACATATATGAAATGAATTTGCAACTGTTTGAATGATATTTACATAGAATTCTAGGAAAATTTCAGGTCCAAAGGCTAATAAAAATTTGGGAAAAGACAAAACAATACCCTAAGCCCTCTCCCATTTTTGATGGTAACTGAGCTTATCCAAGAAAGAATGCATGTTACACATTATTAAAAGAAGGAATTATCAAAGCAATTTGATCTCAGTTTGCTGACTCAGATTGCTGGCAATTTGACTCAGACTGCAATTGCTGATTGCTCAGATTTGATTTCAATAGAGCCCAATTCAGTATGCCACAAAGCATCCCTAACAGATTAGATTAGCATACCATTTTCATGATGTACATTCAGCCCAACTACTAAGGCCGATTTTCCTGTATCCATATTTTCAACATTTGGTTTGAAATTTTATAACACTTGTGTCACAGCACATTTTCAGCTATGGAAAATGTGCTCGTGGACATGGCAATAAACAATGCATAGATTTGGTTTTACACTTCATTTGTCCTGGATGTAGACAGACCACTGGCATTTTACGGTATTTCCAATTCAAATAAAAGAATCAACTTCTGTCAATGACTGATTTGCCTACATAATTAAAGAGAGAATGATCAAGTTTAAAATAATAGGCAAAGCTATTTTCTTCAATGTTAGAGTCACAGAACATAACGGAGAAAATGCTAACCAGAATTCATTAGAGCTCTCTCCACCCTGTAACGTTTACAGGTGATAATTACATCATATACTTAAAAAAACACACAATTTAAATATCACTGAATGCTATAGCTTTCCTTATAGTTTATGGTAGTAGCATTTGCACCTATCTTCTACTTCATAGTACTTTTCTCATTAGAAATCTCTCTCTCATAACTAATCGATCTCATCAGTCTCTCTAAATTTAAAATTATACCATCTTTGCTTGGCCAAGAAATTAGAATTTTTCACGTTACATTCTAAATACTTTCCCCAAGATGTATAATGAATTCATATTATATATATGCAAACCGTTTTTGACTCAAGTTCACTTTTGCCAGTTTCTTTTATAAAATTATTCTTTATTCCTCTGCCTCCTAGGAGGAGGCATATATTTTTGCTTCCTAGCACCTACGCTTATTTTCACTGAAGAATTAAATGCAACAGAATTTTCAGAGATTTTTCAACTAAAAGTAGCTCTTGCAGTCTGAATATAATAAACAAGGTTTCCAGATATTGATATGAAAAAGGCATTTCACTGCTTTCATACTCCATGAAGATTTGGAGGAAGCTTTTAGTTTTCAAACTCTCACATTTTACTATTTCCCATTCCCCAAAATCAAGCATTACGACGTTAGATTTACCCTTCTCATTCACATAATTTGCAAATCCTTAAGTAAAAAACAAAACGCTATTTCTTGTCTGAATAAGAGCTTAGTAGAAGCTAATGTAATTGCTGTTACTACCCAACTTCATCTGTTCATTGAATTATTTTAGTAGTGTTTTTTTGTTTTTTCTCCCAAAAATAATCTTGTTGCCGAAAATAAATGCATCTTAAACAATTAGAATTGCATGAACCCAAATGCATCTGAAATGACTGAATTAGTCGTTGATAGGAAAAACCGGTAACATTACAGAATTTACTAAGGGAACCTCTCTTAATGACACAACAGCAACCTCCAAGAACCAGTTTGTCAGGAGCCAAAGACTCCATTGAGACATCCCTAAGAAAAAAGAGATGGATCACATCAGAACAAAATGTATTCTTGAATTAACAATCTCTTCAGCAAATTTTTCAAGTATATGCTGTAAGCCCACTTCGGCATAAAGAGGCTGCATTTCTAACAGTAATTCTTCCTAAGTATTAACATCGAAATCTTCACAAGGCTACCAAGTGCTCTCAGGATGCATGAGAATACTCATGCTGCCTTCCCATAACATGAAGCTTCAAGAACTGCACCAAATTTTCTGTATAAAAAAGCAGAAACTTTTGGCTGGAGTTTAGCAACACAGTGGTAAAAGCACACAGTTGACCAGGAAAGTCAACACCCTATACCAGATTAAGGGCAATTATTTTTCTTGGGAAGTGGGGTGGGAAGTAGTTTCACATACCAGCAAAGAAGAAAGAAAAGATTTAACAAAGAATACTTTTGCGTGGAGTGTTAATTACATATTTACCTAATAAATACATTTAACAGTACTTACATAAGTTTTGTGCAGTCTTTCCATCCAAAATTCTTAATTCTTTAATCCTTTTCTTCGGCTGAACTGTTTTCTTTTCTTCCGTTTCTTCTAGTGTCCTTTTAGCTGTAAAGTATGTATTTATTAAATTCACTATTACAACTGTTAGAGTTAAACGTATTAATAGTATCTTAGCCAGAAAACCAGAATAACGCATCTCTAAGAATCAGTTCAAGGCAAGACAAATCCATCTCCACAGAGTACCTTAAAATATTCAAAGAAACAAAAAAACAACTTAATAATACCAGAAGAAACAGGAAACGAGAACTGTCATAAAACAATGACAATTTCCCAAGCACTACAAAATATGTTTATATACTTTTAACTGGCAAGTTTTTTTTCCCCTTCAGCTCCAGTCTATTCCAAGCACCTGTAAAAACACAGTCTACATCAATTTAGTGTTAGCTCAAAGGATACAAACGCCTTCCATTGAAATATTAAAGTTTTAAAAGTTTTTGATCCAAAACTGATGAATCATCTGAGATTTACCATATCACACAAAGGAAGATTTCTTAAAAATATACAGTTTTCTTCTACTAATTATTTATGCTGCTGCTAATAAAGAACAAAATCAAACACAAAATACTGTCTATTTAAATTGATAATTTCTAAAGTGACAAGAATCACTAGTCTATATTCAGTACTTAAAATAATATGAAAAGTAATGTAGTATTGAAACATTTTAAATATTTGCTGATTTTTTGCATAATTTAACATAATAATTTTCATAAAATTTTCTTAAGGATCAGTTAAATTAAACCCATTAGCAAGGATTTAAGCATTACAGAACATGTTTCATACTGAAGGAGCAGAAATGTTACATGCTTAACATTAAATTTGATGAACATCTTAAGTCATCAAAAAGCTTGATGAAAGTAAAATTATGAGGAGGTTTTCAGAAGACCAACTATGCCTTTTTCCTCAGAGCATTTTTTTTTTTTTTGCTAAACTGATTTCTTTACTACAGAGTTCATTACAGACATCTGCTAGGAAAAGATATTTATTTCTAGCGTGAAGAATAACTCCAAAACCCAGCTTAAACCTCTTCCAACCTCCCCCTCCAAAACACACACAAAAAAAAACCCCAGGAAACAAACAAAAATAGGGTTTTTTCCCCTACATACATTACCACTAAGGAGACATCTAGCATAAAATAGTTCTGCTTGGTTTACACCTCTTGAATAATTAGTTTACCTTGGACATTTTCATGACAGCATTAAGTAAGCTAGTCCAAGATATCTCCATCATCACCAGTTACCTCAAACAAAGCTAAGCAAAAATTCCATTTCAACAATGATGCAATGCTTGCTCTCCCCCGGTCCCTGACTTTTTTCCTGTAAGCCTAAGAAGTATGACCAGATGCTTTATATTTGAAACAGCGTAGAGCTACACATCAGCTTTATAGTAATCTCATATATACAGCTAATTCTTTAGTTCCCATCGGCACAGAACCTTTAACTGATGAGCTACAGTTTAAAATCCTGAACTAACGCTCCATGAAATCATCGTCAAGCCCCTTTCACAAATCATTTTAAATTAAAAACAGAGAAATTAAAACAGGCCCTCATCAGAAAAAAAAAAACAGATGTGAGAAATAAGTTAACTTTTGTCCCTTATGAGTGGTAGCGTCACAAAGTTGAAAAGTCTAAATTCGGGTCTGTTGAGACAGACGTGAGAAATGATTCAAGAAGATGAGTAACCTATTCCAAGCTTCTCCGGTTTAAGGAGGAATTCCTTCAGGAATTCCATATATGATTAGGTCTTTAAAGAAATAGGGTAAACACCACACATCCTAGCAACCCACTCACGGAGTAAGATACTTGTCATGTTAGTTGTGAACACTGAAGACAGGCTTGTTCTACAACCAGCTAAGACAAGAATTCATAAAATCAGTGCTAATCTTTTCAGTCTTGTGGTTTGCAAAATTTCAATAGAGGTCATAAACATTTATTAGGGAATAAAGCAAAAACCCAACAGAAACGTAAATTAAGGATTGCTTAGCAGAAGATTGAAGAATTTTATAATTCTCAGCATTTCCAAGCGCTATCTCAGAGCTCAATGACAGAACCCAATCCATTACAGCTTTACCTACAACAGGATAAGAGACCCTAGTTTAGTTTCACGACAGTCTCCAACACTGTGTAAAAATCAACTCTGTGTAAAAACAAGCTCCAAGAATTCTCCAGGATAAACCTAGATCTGGGGTGAAAAACTAGTTTACTAGTTCACATGTTACCCTAAAAATGTAACAATGGCTAAGAAATGCAAGCCTCTCATAGGAGGCTGATTGCCAGGAAACTCCTGTTTTTTAAAGAGAGATACTGTTAACTAAATGAGCCACTAAATTAGCGTTAAGTAAATGAGCACCCTGTATTTGTGTGTGTATATATATATATATATATATATTTAAAATAAAATAAAATACATTTTGCAAAGGCACATTTTGACAAAGGAATACTAGGTAGGATTAATAGAAATTTCCCCCCCTCCTCAAGCTTTATTTTGTAATAACTGTGACCTCTAAATGACCTAACACACACAGAGAACAGACTTTCAAGAACACTGCAGACCGACTGACAGCTGTCAACATTCCTGTGAGTAGTAAGTGAAGGGGTTCTCAACAATAGGATATACACAGAGAGGACTAACAGACACTGATTTGAGCACTACTTTTATCAAATGTTACCCTACGCAGAAGTAAATTTACAGGGGTAATTTGTGTACATTTATTTGACCAGCCACAACAAGTGAGTGAAACAGCTTTGTTAGCAATAGTTCAAGGGCAAAGGTGCTGTATGAGCACAACTCAGAACATGTATCAAGTTACTCAACTGCTACAGTATCAAAAAAGGAAAAGTGTTTTGGGGGCTTTTGTTTTTAAACAGACTATTTTAGACACACGAGATGGGACAAGTTAGAACTCACATCCGTACCTTTTGCCCATATAGTGCAAACAACCATTTTTTTCCACTGCTGTCCCTCAACTGTTTCTAGACTGCGCTCTCTTCAGTATTGCGAAAGTAATAACCACATTTAGAACACAAAAGATCACATGTTCAAGGCTTTTATAATGCAGAATGGCTACATATACCTGCTTAAGCCTGAAGAGTCATAATATAATCACTTACAAATCATCCATTTTATAAATGCTTCATTTCGAGGTTAGACTAAGACTTCTCCACTGGGAGAAGGCCTAGGAAGATGTCATTTTCAAAAGTTCTAATCTATTCAAGCATAGACTTTAAGGACTAAGTTAGCTTTATGCCAGTTCACAAAAGACACGAAGAGAAATGCTCAGACGCTCATGTGACTGCATCAAAGTCACAATCCAGCATCAGCACCAGCCTTATTTACCAGTCATAGGCAGAAACAGACATTATACTGCTAGAAACCCTTTGACATTGTTTGACAGTACCTTAAGCACCTTCAGAATGCTATCAAAAGCCATAGCCTTCCCTTTTCTGTTACCGGCACTTTCTCCCTCGATCATTGGTCCACTTCAGCAGTGTTTTAATCATAACAGCTCATGGATTATGGAGTTCTTAAGTTAAAGCATCTCTATTACTTCATGCAGAAGTCGCAGTTCAGTGCAGTGATTTTTCACGATCGCAGCAATTTGATAATGTCACTGGCTTATCTCTTTATCCAATATCTGCTCGTTTTCAAGCTGACAACCTTGAAGGCAGTACCTAAGGCTAAAGTCAGTCATACCCAGGTTTCCAAAACAAAGACGGCCACCTTTTAGAAAACAAGGAGTAGCCAAGGGGATCTTTCCTTATTTCCTCACCGCAACAGTTAACCGAGCAACAGGACCCTGAAAGAAACAGGGCAGCTCTCCGAGTTAACGTTCTATTCTTACCTTTTTGTCTCCTGATCAAGCAGGAAAATCCTTGACAAGAAAACACTCTTCAGAATTCAAAAAGGCTGTGCTTGAAGCTTTATTCCCCAGCGTCCATTTCCCACCCAGCTCTCTGCTGAGCTGGCCTCACCTCTCAGTGCAACTGCTTAAGTTTCTCTCTCTGATTTGAAACACATGGCCAGTTTTTTTTGCCGCCTGTATGTCAGGGTTGACCAATAGCCTTCCAAATTCACCAGTCACTTGTTTTCCTTCCCAGACATAACCGCAAATTAAGCTGGCAGTTCTCCCATTGCCTTACAAGCACTGCAATGTGAGCAGAACCCTCCAACAGGTGAGTGAGCCTGTCCAGGTCATCTAGCAACACACTTGCACTCTAGCAACAATGATGAATGTCTCCTTCCCAAGTTCTCCTTCGGAGAGTCCAAAACTAAAGAAAGCTGCATACCACGTTCAGACTCACAAGGGCCTGCCAAGCTGTCCTCTTTCATTTCAGGCCACCGTGCCTGCGGTAACTGACAGCATTAACGCACCGTTCTTTTTGTTGATACAAAATATGTTTAAATCTCCTACTCTACATCTGTTTTTCTTGTTGAAAGTTTATATAAATCTTTCTTCTTAAAAAAAGAATGGTATTATCTGTTGTTTAAAAGCTGTTCCCCCACCCCCATCTGAGAAGAGGAAAGAAGCCTTTTTAAAAACAATTATCAATCATCAAAATAACACAGCACCCACTAATGAATCATTACCTCATACTAGTTATACCTCTAGAATGCTTTGGTTTTACTTTTCTTTGCTGCCTAATCCTGGGGACAGGAGAGGGAAAGGGGATAAAAAGAGATACGAGGAAGTCAAAGCGGGGAAAGTAGTCTGAGAACATGCAGAGGCCTCTTTAAAGACAACAAAATATGGACCTAAATTCCACGTTAAGTAACCAACATTTTGTTTTATTTAGAATTGAATACTGTTTTGTTAGCAACAACATATTTGTTTACCAAAGCTGAAGGAAAAAAACTGATGTAACATGATGTAAGGGATTGTTTTCTACTCCAGTCTTAGTTATGCAATGCATGTGCAGCTTAAATGTTTACCTTCATTGATACCTTCAGCTGTGAATTAATATATCCCACAGAAAGACACTGCTTGAAACCTGTTCAGCCTCTAAAGAAACAAACAATGACGCTATTCAAAGAGTTACAGAGGTTTAAAA